TTTGATCATACAAAAAAGAAAGAAAATCACATCTAAAATCCATGGAGTTTAGTAAAAACATGATGGGTATCTGGGTTAGTGAACATTTTAAAATATGGCTATAGACTGGAGATCGAGGATCCATGTAAAGTGCTGTGACAGATCAGTTTACTCAGGCCGGCCTTCAAATAAATATCGAACTAGCGATTAAGATAATCTACTTTCTTTGAAAGGTCCTTCTTCCGGCAATTGTGGCTGTGGCAATTAAGTAGCATAAAGTAAATTAGAACTTTGGTCCCCTTAAGACACTTAGATGATCTAAAGCCCTGTGTGTGAGGTGCCAAGAATGAAATAAAGGAAGAGCCAATCGTTTTACCAAATTTTAGTCAACCCTGTATTTCTCTAAAGACCTTCCCGTCCAAGATGGATGTCAGATTTTGCCAAGCCAAGCTGCCAGAATATAATTGTGTTAGGCTGAATATGAGAATTGTAAAGCCTTCATCATATTTACCTATTTGTATTGTAATGTGCTGCCAAATTGTCTTCTACCCAATTTCGAGATCGAAACTGAAACATTCAGAAAATTTGATATGGTGAGAAATTCTAAATACATCACTGAATTGTTTTTGCCCCACTTCCAAAACAAAACTTTATGAAAAATTATTTGTTTCTAATTTTCTCATTTACTCAGTGTAAATAAACACTACTAAAATTTGTTGGTAGTTAAGACTTGGTTGCACTTTTTGTCGCAGAGCTTTCTGCTTCCAGACCAGAGTGCATAATGGAGATTCGCTCTTTCACCGCTTCAACCTAAATAGAGAGACAGCTGGGTTCACAATTGGGGAGCCATATTACCTCTATATCATTTAAACAAAAATCTGCTTGAAAGCGCGCGAAGCCAGCCAGTTTAAAACAGTCATTGTTCTAATAAGTATTTCTAATAGTATGGAGCATGTCGCATGTCTATACCTATGGAGCTTGCCACAGATTTATATACGGTAATATATTGGTACCTAAATTTAATCATTAATAACAATTAATTAATTTTAATTATTTGAAAACTTAATTACTGCTATGTTTTGATGCGCCTCAGTCTCCACCGGTACCCTGATTTACGACCCAAAGAACAGTCTGAAGTTGGAAGCAAACATGGGCGCTTCAATCCACCTGCCCTGTCCACTTCTGATGCCAGCCCTACTGGGGGTTTTGCGCTATCCGATCTGGTTTCGCGCCTCTGGCCATCAGTGGTTGCCTGCCGATCCAAACCATGCGCGGTTAGAAGGACTGAGACCTGGCGACTTCGGTGCATACTACTGCTTCTGGTTGCAGACCGGCCGCGATAGCACTCGTGCACAAGTGGCTTCTCGTTTGGGTGTTAATCAAGTAATGCTGCTTCCCCGGTTCGACTCAAGCTTCGGTGAGTGTTTGCACAACCACAACTCTGTATTAAAAAAGCATTGTTTACGCAAAACACTTTCA